CCCCCCCTCTCCGGTTCTCGTTACTATGTCGGGAGCCTCACTGCCTCCCCTCCCCCCTCCCTCCATCCCCGTCAACCCTAAACTACGACAGCGGCAAAGGAAGAGGAGGAAGGGGGGAAAAGTGGGGCTCTTGGGGAGGGGAGGGGGAAGGGGAGGAGGCGACAGAAGACAATGAAGAGAGTTTTCTGCAGTAAAACAACTGCTACCTGTGTCGCTGAGAGAAGCAAAACACTCATCATTTCCCCCTTCGTGCCCCCCCCCCTTCCCTCTCTTTTCGCTGGATCTGCTAATGTTTCCTGGCAGTGAGCCAACAAAATCTTTTGGGTGTTCCGTTTTGGAATTCTTGCACTTGGTGGGATTTGGTTTGCAAATCGTAAATCAGGATAAGTCCAAATTCCTTCCATATTAACTGTTTTTGAGAGATTAAAGCAGCCCGAGTTGTAGCACACTGTAAACAGCAACCACTTTTTGCAAGGCTTATAATTCTGTTTTTTGAAAGATGTCTAGAAGCAAGCGGACGACGGATTTTCATTTCCTGACATGTGCCTGCGCTAGTTCTGTCAAATTTGTCATGTACCAGTCCTGTTCTTTCTTTTTTAATTTATATTTCACATTTCTTTATACATATTTGTGTAATCACAACCATCGTACTGACAAGATCCAGTTGTTGTGCTGCATATGAATATGTACGACTTGATGGACTGAAACATCCCCGTCCCATCTACTAATTTTATTCTTTTTTGCATATTTTTGCATTTCACTGCTGCAATATCATTACCATTGAAACAGGTCGTGGAAAGGTTGATTATCTCGTTGGGAGGTTGAAATTTGTATTTCTAACATAAGACGTGCTCGATTTTAACTGCTAAAAAAAATCTTATTGTGCATTACTGTCGGAATCTGTAGTTACACTTATTGTGCGCGAAAAACAAGTGCGAAATTCGCTTTCAGTGGTATTGGAACACTGCACACTTTTTTTGGCACATTGCATGCTACTTTTCTGCAGCCGTCACACTGACGAGGTCCAGTTGCAGCACTGAACAGGAATGTATGCGACTTGATGGGCCGAAACATTCCCGCTCAGATTTTGATTTTAATTTATTCACATTTCCATTTTTATTTCCTTACATCTTACATAAACACATACCAAATAAAATTTAAATTAAAATTCAGTGGTGTTGGAGTTGCCAATATCTGCCCTTAATTTTGGCCATTTCAGGTCTCCGATACGTTTGCATTTGATGCTTCCTGAGAGAAATCGACAGAGACAATTACAAACCACTTGCGCAGTGGAAAATGCGACTGACAAATAGGATGTTATTTGTTTGACCAGGTTAATAATTGTGCAGCTGCTTAAATTTTTGAGATTTTGAATCCTCCTGGAACTGCGCCAGTCCAATATTTCGAAAAATCTTGAAATATTAGAAGAGATGAGCACTTTTTTTACAATTTTTTTATGTTCGTGCTCAAATGCAAACTTCCTTCCAAAATCGAACCCTCCCTTTTTTTCGTGGTCGCTTTCTAATTCTTGAAAAACCTACCGAAACATCGGTTGTTTTTTTAAGATTCAGTGCATGATGATTTGGCAGGACTACTAGTACTAGGCTGACGGTCAGTTGATTCAGGGCTTGGTCCGAGCAACTGTAGATGGAGTTTTCCAGCCATAAATGGATCCAGGTGCGGGGAGAGGGGGAGGGGAGTCGAAGCCCAGGTCTAAAGCTAAAACTGAACTAAAACTAAAGCCTAAAGTAACTCTGAGTAGCAGTGTTACAACTCTATCCCTGTTTTTTGCAATAATTCCGGGGTGGAAAGGGCTTCTCCCCCCACCCATCGTTCCCCCGTCCCCTTCTCCAAGAGTCCGCCTGTATTCCCGGTTGCATTGCACTGAATCGATAGCTAATTAAGATTATGATTGGGCTTTATCATAAAAATTCCATGGCTCTGCTCATGATTCCATGATAGCCCTTATTTTTTTAGGAATTATATCAGTAGAATATTTGGCGGGGTGCGAAAGGGGTATGGTGTTTTGGGGGAGGTAGAAAGCGGAATCCAGAGTCAGGATATTTTTGGAGGGAAGGGGACATGTAGAAGAGATTTCAAGTTCCAGAAGAATATTGACGTTGTATTGTTTCATTTCAATTTTTTCCTCTTGTGAACTATTAAATCCTTATTTGGTGCACCATCCCACATCTTTCCGTGCATCAGTTGGGTCTCACGTACGTGCACGTCAAAGTTTAAGTTGGCGTCGTATCAGCTCGAGAATTAAGCTTACAAGAAAGTTTTAATATTTCCGAACGGAGAGGAACATTTGGAATTAGATTTCGAGTTCCAGAAGAATTAAATCGTCGTATTGTTTCAATGTTTTTTTTGCTCGTGAATTATTGATTCGTTGTTTAGTAATGCATCATATCAGTTTCACTTGAGATTTTGAAATTTAGTTTGATTGCTGTCTGTGGTCTTCGTTTTATTGGCGCGCCCTAACTTAACTCATTGCCGGTCGAAAAGCGCTCCGCAACTTGCGATTTTTCGATATTTAACGCCTCCCGCTGTACTCGATCGTTGCCTTGTAAACCTTGCTTCCATCGTGAAGACTCTGAGCAACAATTGCTTGCTTTTATATTAATTTATTTTTCGATTTTTCTAATTTTGCTTCTGTCGTTTTTGTCGATGTAAATGATATACATAAATTACTGGACAAACAGTGGTACCAG